CCAGATCCATGGATGGGTTTACAATGGCTATGGTGCAGTGTGAGAACAGGAAAGACTTAGTATTTACTTCATTGCAACCATGGTGATAGTTAAATACTTTGGCACATAGACTTGAAGCTAGATAAATCTTGTAATATGTAGAAGAGAGTTTGGGGGTAAAGATAGCTATATATTGTTGACCTAAAGCTAATATTCTAAGCTGTGAGTGAAAATGGAATCTCCTTGGATAAAGTAAAAATGAAGATAAATCATGAGACAGAGTTTGTTAAGATTCTATAATGTAATAGTTATACATCAATAAGAAATTCTGCTGTGATGATAAACTTTGTATATTAAGTCATGAATTAGTAAAATCAAGAAGGTCTTACTAATATGCTAAGAAAAATTTAAAAATATCAAAAATTCTTCTTTCAGTGTAACAACATTTAGGCCCTAGAATTCCTGGCAGTGCTGATGCAGGACAGTGCTGAGGCAGGAGTGCTAGCAAGAGCAGGAAATAGACACAAGAAAGTGCAACCCTTCCCAGAGAATTTGGGCAGTGAGAGAAGGCAGAAAGTTCTGTGACTGAACCATGTTTTTGTTTTTTTTATTTCTTTGTTTTAACTTATACATGGAAGGGTTTGTTTGGGCTTACAAACAGAGTCCATTCCCCTACTGTTCATGATAATGGAGTAAAAACATAGCAGTTAGAGCTACATCTGGTTGCTCACACCTTGAATCATAATTAGGAAGCAGAGAGAAAGCACACTAGAAATGGTGGTAGGCTTTATACTCTCAAAGACAACATCCATGCACACACTTCTTCCAGAAAAAGCATGCCTTCTGAGCTTCTTCAGACATCCCAATGAACTGAGGGACCAAGTATTCAAATATCTGAGCCTATGGGGGACATTCTCTTTCAAACCATCACATATAGGACAGTTAATTATATAGAAAGGTACTCCTCCTCCTCCTTCTCTTCTTATTATCTTCTTCTTCATCTCCTCCTCCTTTCCTCCTCTACCTTCTCATCCTCTTCCTCCTCTACCTTCTCCTTCCCCCTTATTCTTCTATTTCTTTTTTTGTGTCTTCTAGCTTGTAGGTGCTTTGTCCAAGACTTCTGTTTGATTTGTTCTTTAAATAGTGGATGTATATGAGGTTGAAGGACAATCTGTAGGCTCCAGTGGGAAGTAAAAAGTTGAGATATAAGTACTTACAGTGTTTAGTAATAAGAAAGTGAGTCTAAGGTAATAGAAAACAAATGTTGTACAAGAGTCATTCCTATGTGCAGCCCCAGATACCTTCTGTACCAAAAGGAAAGATTGTGGTTTTCATGCATGGACAGGTAGGCTTGTAGTTTACTAGAAAGATGAGGAACATAGTTTTGTCAGATTGTGTTTTCTTTATCAATAAGTGATATGGATGCCTTTTCCTAAGGAGATGTATATGTTCAAGCTCTGTGTCTGCAGAAAAAATTGATGTTGTGAAAAATGGAAAGAAGAGTTCAAGAGATTGTAGGGGAACCTGTAGCCATTCCTGCTTAGGGGCTGACTACATGTCTGCCAAAAAGAGACAAGCTGTGTGGAGACCTAAGGGCCTGTTTGTAACTGAGGGTTATGAATTTATGGTATTATCTTCAGTGTTATATTTTTCTCATGCTTTATTTAACTTTTGGGGCTTAGGGACAGAAGGTAGCATTTATGGATTTCATCTAAGGCTTTGAGAAAAAAAAGAAAGCTAAATCAATAAGAGTATTGGTATGTGGACATTTCTCTAAAGACAGAAAGAAAAGCACCAAAGACATTAGCAGAGTTCTGAAGGTAGGAAGAATATAACTCTTACACACACACACACACACACACACACACACACACACACACTCATAACTTCCAGAAGAAAATGAGAATTTGGACAGTTTTGTAGGTTTCAGATGATGCCAGGACATATTACAAAGCCTCTGATACAGAGAATATGCTTTGGATAAAATGAAATCCTGATTGCCAGATTATCATGAAATGTGCAAGACTGCTCTGAAGGCAGCCCTGCCTTGCCTGCCCTAGATGAGGGCTTAGATCTATAGAAAGAGAACGTGATAGATATCTGACCACCACACTGGTAATTAACTGCTGTGGGATAAAGCTGTTCCATTCTTATCTCACCCAAGAGTGCAGTGAATATTTGGGGGAAATACTACTGAAGTAAAAAAACAAAAAGGGTTTTTTTTCATGTACAAGAATGGAAACTCAGTGTGGAAGTGGAAGAAAAATTAATGGGATTCATCAGTTTGACTCTGACCTATCAGAACCTGCAGGGGAATAATGGGAGCTCTCTGCTAACTCCCAGTGTCATCGCTGGAGGAAGAGAAGCTCTCCTGAGTGCGCAGTGGGTATGAAGAGCGATCGGCTCCTTGACAAGTGTGTTTATCAAGTGCATCTGTGGAGTTATTTTGAACGCTCAGTTGCAGCTCTGTCACTTCTCTCCCTGCTCATTTAACATGATGGACTTGTTTGGCAAATCCTTCAGGTGGTAGGAGGATGTGAAGAGGAGGAAGCTTAGTCTGGATCATAAAATAAAAATATTGGCCTCTTTCACATCCTCCAACTTATTTCTCCTCACCCTCCTTGATCATCAGACTGCTTTGTAGTAAAGAAAATGAATGGCTAGGTGCTAGAGCTTTTGTGCATCTGTTAATTAGTTGCTCAGAGCACCATGGACAAAAGATGATGGTGTGAATTCTTGATTAGGAGGAAGGTTTAACCTGTCCCTCTATGTTTGTGCTTTAGAATGCCTGGCATTCTGGTGAAGAATGTGGCATCTTTGCCAGTATCCACTGGCCTCTATCCATCCTGTATGCTGCACAGGCTGTCAAGCTCTTTCAGGGCACTTGTTTTTGGTTTTTGGTTTTGTTTTGTTTTTTTCCCTCCAGAGAACAAGCTTGTAGTCTTTTTTTTTTTTTTTTTCTGTTTTTCAGCATATACAACTGCAATTCAAGGGAGTTAAATAACCAGCCAGAGAACCTATGAACACATTAGTTTTGAGCCCCAACTCTAGACCACATATTATATCCCCAAGTAGTATATTAGTCATCAGAATACTCTTGAGAATGAATATAACAAGAGCAAGAAGGAAGTGTTCAATTTTCTAGTAGTGATTTTTTTAAAAGACCAAGTAAAATGAAATTAATTTCAGTAACATTTGATTTAACACAGCATATCTAGATTATTGTCATTTGTATATTATCACAACTAAATTATCACTGAGATATTTCACATTGCATTTATATACTGTCTTTCACACATAGGACACATCTCAGTTCTCACCAACCACATTTCCAATGCAGGCCACAAAAAGTCCCTCGGCTACAGCAATGGATCACTCAGCTCTAGATAAACATAATTGGAAGGACCTCACTGTAGCAGAAAGATTGCAGAGAAGGCTTCCTGTGTGTCCTTTGACTCTAACCTAGCACTTGGGACAAGGCTGAAATCTCCTCCCTTCTGGTTTCTCTTTGTCCCATGTGATAGCTGTCTCTTTTAAAATTGTATGAATCCATCCCAGATGGTCTGGTGTGTGTGTGTGTGTGTGTGTGTGTGTGTGTGTGTGTGTGTATTCTCCATTTTACTATGAATCTCCACCAAATTATGGGATTCTCAAACAAATTTTGTGATACATTTTTTAAAAGAGGTAGTTGTGAAGGTTTGAGTGGAATCCCCTCAGTGTTTTAAATTGGGCAGTTATTTGTTATTTCTTTTTTCTATGACACAATCTTATAGCTGTACAGCTCCTCCCCAGTCTTTTATAGAGTGTGCTATGGGAAGGTAAAACTATATTATGCATTTAATGCAATGCCTAAAAATGATAGTATAATTGCTATTTTATTAGTTATTATCTTTAACATCTTCAACTTAACATTAATATGAGCAGAGTTTTTATACATGCAAAGCAAGAGAAGGGTGTTACTATGAAGTTACCTTATTACTAATGTGCACTTTGTCTTGAACTGTAGCTTTATGCAGTACTTAATTTTTTACTTCATTTTTACATACCAACCACAATTCCCCCTCCCCTCCCCACCTCTCACTCCTCCCCCCACTTCCCAGCAACCCATCCCCTCAACCACTCCTCAGTAAGGCTAAAGCCTCCCATGGGGAGTCAACAAAGCCTGGCACATTAAGTTGAAGAAGGACCAAGCCCCTCCCTGCTACATCAAGTTTGAGCAAGGCATCTCACCATGGGGAGTGAATTCCAAAAAACTATCTAATGAACCAGGGATAGATCCTGGTCCCATTGCCAGTGGCCCCACAAACAGACCAAGCCACATAACTGTCACCCACATGCAGAGGGTTTAGTTTAGTAATTGACCATCCTCAGTGTATAGAACATTTGTACTTCTTTCTGTAGATGTTATTACACTAAATCATATTTTGAAGAACTTTAGGTAGAAATAGTCCCCCAATTATCTTACTATTTAAAGTTTTATTATTTAATGGATTTTTCAATGTACTTTTGTCTCTATATAATTATAAGCTTATGAGTGACTTTAAAATGCTTTTATTGTTTACTTAAGTATAATAAATGAATTTTGTATATGTACAAAATAATAGTTGCTTATAACAGACAATAGCCATTTTATTATACATCTCTCTTTTAAAAGCCTTTTAATTAATTAATATTGAAAATATTTGGCACAGTAGCTTGAAGTGATATATTTCAATGTAGCTTGGGTATGTTCAGATGCAGGACCCTAACCAATATGTCTTCCATGTTTGAGATGCTTAATAAAGAGCAGCCAACCATGTGAAATTACCATATGAGGTCATCAAGGTCACACATTGATATCAACCATTTTTTTCTTAAATAAACATACAAGTGGTTATTTTTCCTTACTATAAAAAATAGATGAACCATGCCACATCTATAATTTATCTTCTATCTTTTTAGTTGGTATGTAGAAGATTTAAGGTCGTAACCATTTTCTCTCTTCCTTCAATTAATCTTACTGTCTCCTCATTCCCAAACAGGGGTTATTACATTATAATTGTGCCTTTGAAGAAGTCTCGTGGGAAATTCATCAAGCCATGGGAGAGCCCTGATGAAATGGAGTTAGACGAGGTAACTTGGTCTATGTTTATTTCTTTCCTTAGTTGTTCTGTGTAGGCTACTTGGCATTTTGTTCTGTTTTATGCTATGGGACATCTGGCAAATTGTGTGAACCAGTGAAGTGGGCTTGCTATACCCTAGAAATTCTAACAAAGATTCTTTTGTTTTAATTAAAAGATTACAACCTGTTTTGTCCTTGTTATTATTATTCTTTTGCTACCTATTCATTGTAGCAAATATACAGAAATATGGAAGGTACTATTATTACTGTTAATAGAATTCAAGAAGACTTAATTAGTTTGGCAATTGCCAAGGCTGTTATAAATGCTTAATGTACTTTATAACACATTGCGTTTAACCTGCCACATAGTCTTCAGCATATTTTCACAGAATTCTACCGATTCCAAAACATTTATTTCCCTTATTCTTTGCTCTGTAGGTTTTCATAATCAAAAATTCATTTCAGTGCTGGGGGAAAAAAAAAAGCAAAATCTGAAAGAAGGAATGTGGTACAAGAGGCAGAAAACACTGAAGAGTTTGCTAATAACTTCCAAAATCTTATAACTATATGCCTTTAATTCTACATCTTGAAATACAAGCGCTTTAAAAAAAAAAAAAAAAACTTTGGTTTTATGTTTATGTGTGTTTTTCCTGCATGTATGCTTGTATGTTGTCTGTAGGCATGGTACCTGTGGAGATGGGAAGAGGGTGTTAGATGCCTTGGAACTGGGCTTACAGATAGCAGTGAGCTCCCATGAGGTTCTGGGAATAAGGTCTGGGTCCTCTGTAAGAGCAACATCTTAGTGCTCTTAACTGATAAGCTGTTTCTCCAGCCTCATGTACTTTTTAAAAGTAATTATTAAATACTTCTGTGCACTGAGAAAATTAAACCCTAGTATTTACCAAGCTCACAGACATGATCAGAGCCAGCCATCAGAGCTAGGAGTCACATTTGAAATACTACCGAGACTTTGTTTTTAACTGCTGTAAATTTATGAGCCCCTCCTAGAAAAAGGAAGTTTTGGCATATGTGGTTCATTTCCAACATGGACTGAATCTCAAAATAATCCTATTGTTTCTATATATTCTTTCTGCCTCAGATTAGTACAAATGGAGCAAGGACAATGATTAGTTCCCTAACTACATTACTAGGAATTGGTGGTGTTTTTGAAGTGTGATGGCTAAGATCTGACAAAAAGAAAGGGGGTTTGGGGTGGGGCTTAAATTCTTTGGCAGATGTGCCTCATCTCTACAAATGCAACTCATCACCTCCCTGTTTTATGAATTAAATTTTTTCAGGTTCATAAGGCTAGACGAGTTCAGGTCTCTGCTTGTGTCACTGTCTAGTGATTAGGCCATGTGTCTGTAGTACCAAACAACACATTTTGGTAATGTGGTCACATAACTTAATTGTAGGTCTATCTTCTGTCACTGTGATATTAGAGAAACTGAATCCTTTCTCTAAGCAGTTAACTCTAAGTAAGTTTGTAATATTTAACTAGTACTTAGCTGAATTAATAGGATTGTCATTATTACATTTTACGTTAAAATTGGATTTTTAAATGCAAAGATAAATTGTAGAATCTATGAATATTTCTACCTATTAAGATGAGTTTTCAAAGCACTGGAATCCAAGGCAAAAGGACATCAAATAATGCTCTCAGTAATAAGCTTTTCTTAGAAGTGAAGCCACTTGGTAGGAAGGAATAGAAAGAGGTTCTCCTTTACAGCCAGGCTTTAACCTCTGGAATGCACAGAACGCTAATGGATTCAAATACAGGGCTTAGTGACATTGAACTTTCTCGCAGTTAAATTCCACAGGTCTGTGCTGCAGATTCCCATAACAAAGGGTCATTTTAATCACTCTGTGAGTTGTGGTGCATTAATCTGTATAATAGCTTGATAAAGAACATTTTATTAATTCAAAACTTTTGGGTCAGGATGGGTTGTTTCCCACTTTTCTTACTGATATAATTGAGACCACATTGCAGAATTAATGGTGGAAGAAATAAGATATGCATTGACTGGAAAATGAAAATTATTTCTGATAAAGAACTAAAGCCCTTGATAAAACTTCTGGAATAATGTCCAATATATTTTGTAACTGTTGTGGAGGGGAAGAAATGAAAGTAGGTTATGGCCTCACTTTCTGCCTACTCATCCTGTTTCTGATGTCTCCACATGGGGCTTGTTTTTCACCTAGTATGTATGACAAAAGCCTTTTAGTAATGTTAATTTCAAGTGGGCACTACTTGGTTTGACAAAGCAGAGTTCTCTTAAATGTATTTGACAAGGTACTTTTTTCAGAAAGGCCTACAATTCATATTGTTGGAAATATATCAAGTAGAACAATGGCCTAAGGGGATTACCACATGCATGCCTCCCATCTCGACCCATACATGATTTTAAAAAGGGTTTCTTAGACGAGTTACTCTCAAAATTATATTTTGAGCTCATTTGTATTTTTGGTCTGGGTTATTATCTGCATGATAATTTCATAGACTGGAATTCCTGCCTCAAGGTCAAACTGAGCAGAAGAGGCATTGAAAGTGGCAATGAATTTTGGGCAGGATGACTCCCCAATGTTAGTTGTATTTATTTCAGGGCAAGTGATGTAATGTGCCAATGCTTTTCATTGCCCTGTACTTCAAAGCCTTGTCATAAAGTAATGAAGTCATTTGTGGCTATAATTTCAGCATCTTGGCTAACTTTGGTGTCATTTAAACTCATTTGGGCCATTTGAAGTCTAACACTGGAAGCATTCTAAAGGGTAGTCTTTGAAGGCAGGGTCTTGTTCCAGATTACACTTCAGTGAATGACTGCACTGGGTCCAAAGAACGGAAAAAACATTCTAATAGTTAATCCGGAGGCACTGGCTTTATTTTTTCTAAATAAACCCTAGCAAATGGTAATCATGGGGATGATGATGATAAATTATGACAGCTGCCTATATAGAAATGTGAATAGAACCAAGGTAAGATTTGATCAGTGAAGTAGAATCAGGGATGTAATCACATAAACAACTGATGGTAAATGTTTTTGATTGAGCAACTTCAAAAGACTGTTGAGTACATCTGTGGTGTATTGCCACCAAGGGTTATATAGACTGTCATTTACTGCCCATTGGCAATAACCTATGCAGTCACCGATGAATTGTAGTATCATGTTAAATATTTGGCATCATAATTTTATAATCTTCATGTTTAAAAACCCCAGGAAATAAAAAGATCATATTCATCTATGTTAATGAAAGCAGATGCACAAAATTTACATACATGCTGAGAAAAAATATGATTCATATCATCAGTGTTTACACATGGCATTAGATTTCTCCAGTTTGTGCAAAAAATAGGTTATGTAAAAATTAGGTGGAAAAACCTCTTGTATGTGTCTCTCCTATGGATAGTTTAAATTTTTGTTGCCCTTGAAGTCTACTCATACACCAAATGTTTCTATCATGCTCCAATTTGCTCACTTTTAACTGGAGGTAGCTGTAATCAGTTTTACATGGTTATTGTGGGGAGCGAATGAACTGACCTTCATTTCAGCTTCCTGAAAGAGTATCTGGTACCTGGTAAGTGTTAACTAATGGCTACCATCATCATTATGTGTAAAACTATGTTTAGCAACAAAATTGTAAGGTGAATTTCTGTCCTTTTGTCCCAGAAGTTGGAGCGCAGTTGAGTGGCCCACATAGATACATGGATACATAGAGTTTAGATACAGATTTGTCAAACAGATCATGTCTAATCCCCTCCTCTATCAACGCCTTAGCCCTCATATAATTTTAGTTGTAGCAATAAGCTCAAATTTCACAGACATTTTTAGAGCATGATCAATTAAATATTATTGATACATGTCATAGAAACAAATTATTACTTAGCTAGAGGGCTACCTTGCACATTATTAGATTTTGAGTCAGCTGGGTACATCTGTGGTTCTCAGTATAAAACAGACTACATTGCCTGTGGTTGCTGACTGAAGCATTTAAGTTTAGACTAGGCCAGGAACAATTTCCTCTCAATTGCTGACTTGGTTATGACAGCATTTCTTTCGTTCCTTTTTAAAAATTTAATGTATGTGTATGGATGTCTTCCATGTGTAACTATTCACCATATGCATGCTGGTACCCACAGCAGCCAAAAGAGTTTGGTACTGCCTGAGGAACTAACATTACAAATGGTTGTGAGCCACCATTTGCATTCTGGGAATCAAACCTAAGTTGACTGAAAGAGTAGCTAGGGCCCTTAACTGCAGAACCATCTATCTCTCCATCTCCTGCCAGCGTTTCTTTGTACAAAGTGTATTTCACCAATTTGGTTTTACTATTTCGTTTCCATCATAAACACCAAGCAAAATAGTGTCACTGCCAAACCTGCCCAAGTCCTTGACCTTTGTTTACCAGGATCAAGGTTGTGTTTGTTGTCAGGTACACAGGCTTTTTCCAGTTTGTCCTCAGACACAACCACTTTCTACACAGACATTAAGACAAAATAAAAATTCTTTCTAAAAAGCCACTTAAAATTGCTCACTTACCTCCAAAGGCATTCAAGACTGCTGAAGGCTTCTTTCCAGTTAGACTCTATAAAATAATGTGTGACAGGAGAGGACAGTGGTAACATTACATGGTTTTCAAATCAATTCTCATACCATTAATGAGATTTTCTCCCAAGTGAAAGCCAATGAAAAGAGATGAATTATTCAAACATTAATTTTAGATTTTTCTTTTTCTTTAGAAATACTAGAAGGCTGTGTGTGTGTGTATGCACTCGTGTGTGCATCTATGTTTTCTTTACTTCATGATATTGAAATTTATCCTTTCCCACCCTACCGATCATGTCACCTTTTTAAATGCTTACTCCTGAGAACTACATTCCAGGCAAAGTTGACTCAATGGGAAAAAGTCAGGGGTATCTTCTAAACTGGTTAGTGAAAGAGGTAAACTGAGCCAGACACAGAAATGAGTGACGACTTATTCGAATAAGTAAATCGAAGTTACTCCTTAGATTCCAAGTCTGCTGACTTGACAGAATTTTCATCATTTAAAGGATCCCATTGGTAAAAGAGTAGCATCTTCCATGAAAACTGGTTACTAATTGTTTCATGTACCTCCCATAAGACCAGACTTTTGTGCGTCAAGCTGTGCTTCTTCCTTAAACTGGTTATGATGTAATATTGGCCTTTCAAAGAATTTCGTTAGTGGAGGAAATTATGTGGGCTTCCAGTGAAGATCTAATGCCCTGTGTTTAAAGTCTGGCCCTTGAAAATCATTTTGGCATCCTACCTAACAGGAAGCAAGTGTTTGAAAATCAGAGCCGAGAGTCTGTTTTGCTGACCTGCTGCAGAAAAAGTGAACAAACTGTGTCAGGTTTTTCGAAGTCCTGGATTAATTTCTCCTCTAAGACATCAATAAGTTGGTTGTTTATGTTTCTTTTTTTTTGTCACTTCTTCCTTAAGCTGCTTAAGGAAATATCTAGGAAGCGCAGAAGCATCCGTTATGGGAGAGAAGTTGAATTAAAGCCATATATTGCTGCTCACTTTGATGTCCTGCCCACTGAGTTCACCCTGGGGGATGACAAACATTATGGTGGATTTACAAACAAGCAGCTCCAAAGTGGACAAGAATATGTTTTCTTTGTGTTAGCAGTGATGGACCATGCAGAGTCTGTAAGTTAATGATAATGGCTTCTGTTTCTTATCCTTGTCCATTTTCACCACTGTGCATGTTTACTTGAGGATGTATCTGCATGTACCCCAAGTATTTCTTACCAGCTGTCATTAATAGAAGTGTTACATTGGGCTTTCTGTCCTTCCAACATTGCCGAGCATTCTGCATTACAAACAAGATAGCATCTTAGATGACAGGAATTTCAGGTGTGAAGTACCAAATTGATAGAGCATAGGTCTGTAACACACAGTGTAACATTCCCTCCATTGTCACTAAGATTTCTCTCTTATTTCATTGGAAACTATTTGCCTTAAGAAACAAAGTACTGTTCTCAAGTTACATGATCCAGGAGATGTTAGCCTATGTAATGTGTTAGAAAACAAAAGACCCTGACATTCAAATAGCATGTTGGGAAACATGGACCAGAGCAGTTAATTTATTCACCTGTAACTGTGAGTACACAGTGCTTATACCCAGACTCAGCAGACAGTGTTTCAATGAAGAGGGGAGTACAACCAGCATCTTCAATTATAGAAATGTATGAGTGACTTTATCAGTGAAAAGCTGAGAAAGTTACAGAATAATTCAATAAGAGTAAGAAATCCTAAGGTACTCTAAATAATGACTTTTCTTGTTTTATGTAATTCATCTTGCTCCTGTGTCATTTTATGCTTCAGTTGCTTTGAACGCTTTAAAAAATGAAAAGAAAAATGGGGAGAAACAGTAGACTGAAAGGAAGGCAGATGTTAAAGTGGAAGTTCACATTAACATTTAGTAGATATATTCCTAACTGTTTCCTCATCAAAGCTTAAATCTGGCATGTTTGGCAACTGAGGTGAGTTGGTCTTCTTATATAAGAAGTCCAAAGTTTATGAAAGTTCTGTGTATCAGCTGTTGTCTTGTACAGCAGATACTCTCTTCAAATGACTAGAGGAATTCTCCCAAGGAAAATCAGAGGACAGAGGCAGCCTCATTTACCTTTATGTGTAAATGTCATTTGATGGCCTTCCTGGAATTTCAATACATCAAGATGCTCTCTGTATCTAGTTGATGGTTTTAAAGTAAAATATCAGGGGAATGCTAGGTTAGAAATCTTTCTTTTCTTTAAAAATAAAGTATACAGATACTTAAGAGAAATTTTCATCACATAGTTCTAGGAATGTTTTAGAAGATATACTTAAAAACACTTAGGTAAATCACAGAATTCAGCAAAAATAGCTCATCCAAAGCTGCAGACTGATGATGGTGCCTTCCTTGGGGCCTATGGGTTCTGAAGTCTCCCAGGTATTCCCAACTCATGTCTAAATGTCTCCTCATTGATTGATGCATTGAGAGAAAGGCACATAATTGATATAGATGTCCCATGGAGGGCTGGTCACTATCACTCTATAGTCTCTTGTTCTCTGCTTGCTGACCAGTAATGGCTCTTTGTGTTATTCATCTCTTACTTAGAAAGAGAAGTTTCTCTGATGAGATTCAGATACACTAATATATGAATAAAAAAGATGAATTTTCAGGAGTCAACTGAGTACTGTGTTCATTTAGTAGAACTATAGCTGTAAGTTCTCTCCCAGGGCCTAAATCCTCTCTAGCCACAAGTTCTTGTCCCCAACTCTGTTCTATTATATTTCTTGACATTGATCTCAAAATTTAAAAAATGTTTTACCTACATGTCATGTGTGGTTAGACCAGCATTCGCTTCATAGCCAAAAGCTGTATCCAGTTTTCAATTATGTAGTACTTTTGGAAGATTCAGATCTCCGTGGCTGATTAGTAATAATAGCTATAATCATTCCAATTGTTGTTTGACAATTTGCAGGAAAAAAAAAAAACACTTCTCTACCCTTTTTTTGCCTCCCCCAACACACAGCTTTTTGCTAATCTGTTGCCTCCCATTGAGAGTTCTACAGACTAGTTTTTGAATGTTTAATCACTTTTATTATTCCTTCCCTCTTAGCAAATTCTACTTTGCATGAGGCTGGTATCATTTTGTGCCTGTTCTTTCTTTTCCTTTTAACATGCATCTCTTTCCTGACTTAAGTTAGTAATTCATGTTGCTCATCTAAGCCCTTTCTTAAATTTAAATTTTGATTAACCATTCTGATTATTATCTTAATGCCATTTGGCTAAGAATTTCAAATCAGCTGTTTGTTCGCTGATAACAATTTGAGATTAGCCTACAAAATGGAAGGGATCCCTATGACAATAAACATATGAAGACTTATGTTCCTTGACATGTAAGCTCAATGCTCAATTTTTATGTAAATTGTTATATATGTTATATATGTAAACCATATCTATCCATCCATGCTAGACTCCCTATTCCCTCCTCTCTCTATTGCTTTCAAGTCATAGCTCAGAAATTTCCAAAAATATACTGAGTTTTTATCTGTTCAATACATAGAAAATAATGAATGTCTTTTTAACGTCTGTCCTGGGAAGTAAAGAATATAGAAAACAGTAGCAAACTTCAAGTATGCAGTGGAGCATGTTCTCTGCTTGTCTCTTGAGCTGGTACTAAATTCAGATTATGTGCCTTAAGATAAGACTTTGAAAAAACTTGACTGTATCCTGATCTTAAACAAGTGTATCCATTTGTAGCATCCTCAGCTACTTGAAAAGATGAGCTTTTTTCCTTTATTGTTGTATTTTATTCAGCAAAAATTTGCTGAGAACTTTCTAAATACATTGTTCTATGTTAGCCACTTTAAACACATAAACACAAACAGCATATAAATCCCAAACCTTGCAAGAATTTAGTTTCATCTGAGAAAATGAGGTATTTGTACACATCTTTGAAAACAATTTCATGCATGCCATCAAACAAGAAATGAATGACTAAATAAAATTGTTATGTTTGTATCCAGTGTTTGTTTAGGACTGAATTCCACCAGTAAACGAGGCAGTGTTTAAGTGGGTCCTTGGAAAGTAGTTGCATTTTTGGAGCTAAATGTTATGGGGTTTGTGAATATGCTAATTCGTAAGGATAGAACATTTAGGAAGCAGCAACAAAAGCTCACTGTGATAGAATGTATTATATATGGTAAGAAGGCTTAAAGCAAAAGTGCTAAGGCTCCTGATAACCATAGTGAGATACCCATGTTTCAGAGAGGAATTTTATACAAGAAACCATCTCAAAGGCTTTACAGTTGCAAGTAAGAATGATAACTCCAGTAGCAGTTGTATTAATAAAATGCAGAAACACTGGGTATGAAGAGGATAGCATTAATGAGGCTCTAATTAGCAAATGGTATCTATGAGACCAGCAGTTTAGCCTCAGGTTACTGAAAAGTCTAACCTGTAGTCTCCTTTCACAGTGAAAGCTTAAAGAATTTGGGATTGAGACAAAGATGTATCTGGCTAGAAGGGAAGCTCTTCATTTGAACCTGAAAGTTCAGGCAACTGAGAGTGAAACTCTCTATTGTTCAAATAGTTAAAACTGGCAGGAAGGAGCAAGTGAAAACAGAATTAGGAAAGCCAGGAAGGGAGTTATTAAGTCTTGCTCTGCAGGACAAATCTGAAAAGATACATAAAACCTAAGGACTCAAGAAAGACAATTAGATTTAGTAAATGATATATTAAAAGGTCACAATTAACTGAAAACAGATGAGTAAATGGAAGGTGACACCTGCAACTAGTGGGTATGGATTGACTTGTGGAGTAGAGTAAAACAAAGGACTTGAAAAGGGGTGGGGTCAAGGAAGTGCTTCATTTTATATTATTATTATTGTGTGTGTGTTTGTGTGTGTGTGTGTGTGTGTGTGTGTGTGTGTGTGTGTGTGTGTGTGTGTGTGTGTGTGTTGAGATAGGTTTTCTCTGTGTAGCAGCCATGGCTGTCCTGGAACTCATTTTGTAGTACAGGCTCCTCTTGAACTCAGAGATCCACCTGCCACTGCATCCCGAAAAACTGGGATTAAAGGCATGTGCTACCACACCCTTCGTTTTAAACGGAACAAAATAGAAAGAAATAGGATATTGCAGAAACAAAGCCCGTTTCTTTATTGAGTAATTGTGTTTTAAAGATATGTGATCAATTTCCTTTTGGAAACGTGTATATGAACTTCTAATTGGTAGCTGTCATGAATGTAACTAGAAACTATTAAATCCCTCAAGTTCTAATAATTCTGCTTCACAAAGCTGTACCAAGAGTTCCATACATCTTTATTTCTAATTGGCATTCTTTTTTGTAAGTGTAGATTTAAATGTCCTAGAAATGTGGAGTACTTAGAAGTTCTGTGCACTCTAACCTTGCATGAAATAATGGTTTGTTTTCTGATGGATATGTTTGCCAGTGCTGATCTCTGTAACTTCATGGATTGTTTCATATCCAAGATCTTGGAACTATGGTGTTTCTGATTTCAGAGTGTTGATGTCTGCTCATTGGAAAGTTTGCTTAGATTTTAACAGTTCAAACCCTCCAAATCTGTAAAATACCCTGGAACCAGTCAAAATCTTTTATATTTCAGAGCATTTGGACTCAATGTTTTGGATTGGGAATACCCAATTCTAGCATCTTTATCTTCACAAAGCAATTAATATATTACTACCATGCAAATGATCATTGAATGTTGTTTTTTAAGACATAGTTTATTTAAGACAATGTTTATTCTTTTTTAAGACATAGTTCTTTTTTTACATTATTTTCCCTATTTCTTTCAACACTCTATGTACTCCCCTTGCTCTCAAATTCATGACCTATTTTTTAAATTAGTAGTGTTGTGTGTGTGTGTGTGTGTGTGTGTGTGTGTGTGTGTATGTGTATTCCTAAACATATAAATACAACCTACTCTGGTATGTGTATGTTGTCTGGGAAGACCATTTGGTATTGAATAATCAAATGGTGCTCTCTTCCCTAGGGAAGACTATTTCTCATTTCTCAGCGTTCCTTAGTTGCCTTTAATTCTTTATGTAGAGTATAAGCCTTATAAGATTGTCCTCGTAAATTAGCATGTCTGTTCATATTCTTGTTATTAGGCAGCCATACTGGTAGAATTTCATGAATATGGCACCGCTGACCCAATCTCATAGTAAACTTCCTGTTCCTCTGGCTCTTACATCCTTATCATTCTCCTCCCTCTTCTTCAGTGCTCCCTGTGCTTTAGGTGCAGGCATGGTTTTGCATGTATCAGTTGAAATTGGTCTCCACTACTCCTCATTTTCTCAGTTGTGGTTTCCTGCAGTGGTTGTTCTCTTCTTTTTGTAAAGAGAAGTTTCCTTTGATGAGGGATGAGAACTGCACTTATCTGTAGGTGTTAGGATAAATACTTAGAGTGGAGTTACGGATTCTGCTGATTTCATAAAATGAGTATTAATAGATTGTCCTTCCAGATCTATGACTTCACTAGCTGCAGGTAATTGGCTAGGTTTGCTGAAGTACCAGGTGTGCTTTCTCTTTTGATGAGTGGGCCTTAAGTCCAATTAGAGTGTTGTTGGTTACCACCAAAGCGCATCTGCTACTACTTCACCCTTAGAGTTACCATGCCATGTCATGATTCATGGGTATCATAGCTGGGTAGGACTATTGATTGTTTCCCTCCTTTAAAAGCTTGTATGGTTCCTTCTGGTACCATGAATACTAGAGTTCAGGGAGGAGGATTTCAGGTCAGATCCAGCTCTGATTCTCTGAATCTCATGTCTGAAATGCATAGTGTCTTTAGCAATAGGAACTTACCTTTGACTTCCAGGAGGCAACCAAAGGAAACAGCACTATCCTGTCTGGAGAATCATTTGGATAACCCCTACTAACAGCTCAGATGAAGGTGCCTAATGCCTGTTGTTGGACAGGGTTTGGCGTTGTTAGACAGCCTATGATTCTTGAAAGGAACAATGTCAGCCCAGAATTGATACTTACTTGTTGGTATTTTATACTTCATTAAATTATGTATGTAAAGTCCATGGTAAAGTACCTTTGAAGTCATTTACACCATTGAAAATTATTTTGTTATATTTCTTTCATTTCCCGCATTGTATAATGTCCATTCCTCTCATGCTTGCTTGTTATTTTGTTTCCTTTATTATAATGAAATACATTATAAGTTTTCTTTATATTAGCACTAAAAATATCATTGAGAAAGATAGTATTTTCTAACTAGATTGAACTCTGTTTAACCTTAGAAGATGTATGCAACCAGCCCATACTCCGACCCTGTTGTGTCAATGGATCTGGATCCACAGCCAATCACAGATGAAGAGGAAGGCTTGATATGGGTCGTAGGTCCTGTCCTTGCTGTGGTCTTTATCATCTGTATTGTGATTGCTATTCTTCTGTATAAAAGGTAAGTCTGCTCTATAGTTTAATTGTGACTTTGAGAACTATATTGATTTAGAAGAATAAAACAATTTTCTATGATTTTGTGTTGAATTTTATATTATATATTTGAAGAAATCCCAGTAACTAATATTGGAAAACATGTTGTTGTTATGCCTAGGAATTGAGATGACTGAGCTTGTGGTGTTGTCTTTTATCGTACAGAGTGTACTTTTTCAGCCTCCATATTTTATGATGCATTTTGATGAACAGTTTTCATGATAGCAAGATATTGATACATCCCAAACAGCTCATCCCATGCAAGCTTTAATTTGGTTTTTAGATGATTATTTCTGAAACACACAGTTACACATTTATATTCATTTCATAAATGTAATGTGCTAAAATGTTTCCCTATTAGCTGTTTGTGAGGGCTTAGCAAATATAACTAAATGATTAAGAATTTTAAAAAGAAAGGGATAAAGAATGAATTTCCTCTCAGTTTCTCTGCATCTTTTGCAAAACATTCACTATTAAATTTTCATCAGTGTTCAAGAAAGGGTGATCAGAAAGTACTGTCATCTAATTAAAACAAGTTTCTAAACATAGTCCTTATTTGTCTCAATATTGACCTGATTAGTATTTTGTCATTTCTGCCATTATTCCTTTGTTCTTATGTTCATAGAATAGGCTTTTTTTTCTTCATGATCTCTGATTTTATCTGAAAAAGTGTTGCTTATAAATGTCTATTCTATTTATTCCAACACAGAGAGAAAGCTTAAGTGATAAAAGGCAAAGAAAATTTTTTATTCATGATCCATTAAGTTGCCTATACTATCTTGGAGTTAGGAGATAAATATTCTTAATTATCCCATCAGTCCCTATGGATCCCTTCAGAACACTGCCATCACACGATTCCTCAAGCTGTAAAGTAGCTGAGAGTGCATGATCAGTGACAGAATCTCCTTAGTTGATGGTTTGAATCTCCCCATTTTAGTCTTTATCTTACTGGTATGTATCGTAATGGAAGCTGTTACATTTTCTCACCTCTCCTATGTATAAAATATAAAAATAGAAGAAAGTTGCTGTCCAGAAGCTCCAGCCCACTCATGGATTCTATATGAGCAGAGACAGGAGTTGGTACCCATTCCTATATGTGTCCTACAAGTAGTGACCAAAGAGAAAGGCTGGGCTTTTTAAAAACAAGCCAAATTAGATTTCTCATTGTTATCTAGAAGATACTCATTCAAATGGTCCCATCCTATACTGGAATTTGGCCAGAAAGAAGAAAGTACCTAGTCACAGGTCCGTTTCTAGGCCATGTCATGTGACATTTCTGATACTCAAAATGTGCAGAATGCATGCCTCATTTTCAGGTCATGTTTTATTATGATATGACAGGCAATTAGTAAGTAATTCTATTGTGTCTGTAAGTTAATTATGTAAAAGTATGAAATTAGGAACTATAACCTTGATAATTTTTTAAAACTATAATTACATTTTCCTTGATTCATCTACATATGCTTGAAAAGAGCCAACTCATTTATAATTTTCCCTAATCCTGCAAGAGGAAGCATCTTATTTAAACGTTTCATGACTCTGTTAAAAGAGTTGCATTTTTCCGTGTGCACATGTAGCATCGTCTAATGTGATTGTCAGAAAATGCATACATCCTCGAATGCTAAGTATATTTAGCTAACCATCTGAAGGCCATGGAGCATTTCTGAAATAGAAATGCTTGCTTCAGCACTAAAAAACGTTTCTGACTTGAAATTTAAGTAGAACCAACAATGTCCTTCTTGATTATCATGAGGCAGTTCAAGAGGAAATCTTTACTCAATGAATGGTGTCTTTTATAGCTTGGATCTGAACAAAGTTAATTATGTAATATGTACCTCACTCTGTCTTTTAGGTGCCTTTCGGGTTATATAGAGATCATTGATAATGATTCAAAATTGAAAGTATCGTCATTGCCATCACTATAACTAAGAAAATATGAATATTTTGCTTCCTTAAGCAAATAATGTCTAGATATATCAAAGGCATAAAAAAGAACTGGGTCACATTGACTTGATAATTGTCTTTACCAGATACACCTTCTCACAGGATGACTGCTTGTGTGAAATAGCCAGTAGTTTTGGATGGCTTGCCAAATTAATAAGTGTATTTTACCCTGCAACTTGAGGCTTTGAGGTTTTTCTTAATAATTACATTGGTGTGGAAATGTGACACGACTTTATATCACTCTGTTTATTTGACTTTTCTTTTATTTGGATAATTTTTATATCTCTAATACATTGATAACCAGTGATAAAACTATTACTGAAGCTTTGTAAGGGCACTAACCTACCTACTGACTTTTAAGAATATTAAACTGCAATTGGTAGATATCTAGAGTTAGAAATATTACTTATTATGATTTATTTGTAAAGATTTTTATAATTCATTTACCCAATGACTCAACAACATAAATTCAGAAATAAGATGCTAACAAGCCTAGGAAGACAGTGGGATATAAATCAGCAACTCTGTGGTCAAGGTCAACTTCTATGGCTGAAGGGCTAGAAAGTCTTGTCACCACCACAAGCTTCATCATTTACAAAGAAAAGAAATGCATTAGACAAGTGAGCTTTTTAACAATACTATTCCATAATCTGGGAGTATAAAAAGGTAATAGAAGTGGCCTTATGTTGTTCTATTTTATATGTATATGTGTGTATCTAATTGTGATGTATAAACCCAGCTTACCATCATCCATCTACCACTTAAAATTAAAATTCACCACTTATTTCTTCCACATCTATCTACTCTGCAATGCTACATATGTAACACTCACTAATTATTTCTAATGCAGCCTGAGAATTATTTATAAAGAAAGTAAACATTTTAAAATAAAATATTAACTTTAATTTATCAGAAAACATTCAAGGTAGATGATAGTGTCTTTTTCTATGTCATGCTATGGGAAATGAAGCTCAAAATACAAGGCATACTATAATTCAGGAATAACTTCCTTGGACATGATAGCTTAGCCCCTGAAGAGTGAAATTTCTGTCATTATCCTCAGTTACTTGTCTGTAAATCATGAGGTAGGTGAGACAGAACAACTAATTTTACCTTTCCCAGCTGTTCCTGGAGTCTCTGGTTTGCACATCAACTTAGAAGAATTTCTAACTGATCATCAGGAATATCATTGTAGCCATTATACTTTGTGAAGAAATCTAAGTCCATAGCTAGCTCAGAGTCAGTGCTGCCTCCTGACACCCAGCAGACTCCCCTACCTGGAGTTCCAATCCTCACTCCTTGTCACTCCTCCTGTCTTGATCACTCTCTTCATCTTTTATATCTGTGATCCTGCCTCTCCTCCCTCTATCCAGGCTATCCTGAAATCCCCCATTCTATGTCCTTGTAGTTCCAGCTATTGATGATAGAACCTGTTGCATCTCTTGTTTCTCATTGCCTCCCAAGTGCCCAGAACAGAGTTATATTGGATACATGATCTTATATGTGTCCAATAATATTAAATTTACTTTCATCCAACTGTTTATTATATAGTTTCCTATCAATTTCATCTTGGCCCATGATATAATATTACCTGCTTTTCAAGCCTTCTAATATAGATATTTAAATAAGTATGAGTGCATGTACAGGCTAAATCAAGCAATCCTGTAGAAGTGTTCTGTTAGTTAACTCTCCATCCTTTCGTATACATTTCCAAGTAGCCTTTCTCTTCCACACAGAGAAGATTCCCTACACCCCTGTCTCTAATAACTCATTGATCAAAAAGGAAGTGAGAAACATGTACATAGGGTTGTTTTGGTCTGTTATTCAGTACACTTGGTAAATCACTTTACACTTAAACCCAGAAAGAACTACTAAAATAAACGTGGTATCATTGTCATCCTTCACTCTGTGTGTGTTTATAGAGATAAATGTGAATTTTTTTCTTTCTTTGAGCAATGGAATGCATTGTCTATAGTTTTGTGTCTCCAACATCCAACACAGAAAGCACTTTACCCGCTGCCACCAAGTGAATATTATTCAGATTCATTCTTTCTGGAGAAAGCTGTAGTCCCTGGAAAACAGTTTCATATTTAAACAGTCGATGCATCATTACAGGTGGAAGCACCTATGAGTGACTGGTGGGTGTGTTTACAGAAAGTAGCACCCCAAGAGGAAATGTCTGTCTTTTATGTGGCTAGTAAGAAAATGCTTTTGTGAATTAGCTGAGCTATACAGAAGGGTCATGCACTTTGGATTTATAATCACAAGTATTTTATTTTTCAGTACTAAAAATGTCTTTAACCCATTATTATAAAAAGACTTATGATTGCCTTACTTGTCAAGAAGTGTTGGAAAAATTATTTCTGCTACTTTATTTCATTGTGGTGTAATGTTCCAATGTTCAAAATTTTACTCAGTGCAGTGCAACTTGCAGAATTTCATATCATTAAAGAATGACATGCTTCTTAGCTAAAGGCTTTATATTTCTGAAATTCTGTTGTATTTTCATTTAGAACATCAGTTGTTTTCCTGAGTTAGATCTTAAAAATTAAAGATCATGGTCATCATATACTTGCTGTATTAGTTTTAGCAGCATTTTTGCAAAGTAGTAAGTGAATGCACCAGTGAAACCACATATTCTTTATTCAGTGGTATAGTCTCATGGCCTCCATTTACTTCACGGCCTGTAAACATTTTGATGCACTATTGTTTGCTAATATGTGTGAGGTATGTGTCTCTGCTTGTGAGCACTACTTTTAAAAACTTGGTTGTCATGGTTACTCTTGTTACCATTGGCCAACTAACATTAAGCCTTTCTTTTTTTCCCCTTTCTTTATTTATTTATTTTGTGCTGCATTAAATGGAGCAGTAAACCTGACAGGTGAGGAATAGAGACCAAACCCCTTCTATGCTCAGTAAGGAAAAACTAAGATACAGACAGACTTGAAGTGTTTATGAGGTGAGGGTGGGGACCAGCATAAAAGATCCTTCCTAGCAAGTGGAAGCTGGACAGAGCCTACACACAGGTGAAAATTTGGATATTAAAATGCTAATGAGGGACATATTTTGCCTTTATGAGAAGAAAACAATGTATTTCATTAAAACCAAATTTAGAAAGAAGTAAAGCCAGTCTGAGTTTTGTGTTCAGGGGTAAATGAGCATATGTGTGTGTTAATGTGTCTGCAGGTTGGAAATGTGAGTTGTCCTGTAGACCTTTTGTTTTGTTTGTTTGTACCCCCTAGAGAACATTCTTACCAAAGCCAAAATTATCCCTGTGTCACCCAGCCCTGATTTGAAGTAACAGTAATAACAATAGCTAAAATATACTTAAAGATGATTCCAGACTGCTTTCTACTTTTGCAAATACATACATATTTACCCACATAAACACTTGATTGAAATTCAGCTAAAAGAAGGATCTCAGAGGTCATCTGCCAGCACTACCTTCAGTGGTCTTTAGAGTGTGGTGCCTTGGCCAGCTTGCACTGGAATCATTATTCCCTGACAACTTTCCAGAAACAGAAATTCTTAATTCTCACCTGAGATGAGAGTCCTCAGCTTTGACACAGGAGCCTATATTTTAAAGTGCCCTCATAGCTGATTTCGTACACATTTAATTTTGAAAATCACTTTACATTGATGCCTCTAAAATTGCCCTATGTTGCCCAGCAGGCAACAGTGAAATGACAGGACTGTTAAACCTCCAGAAGAGGGTCTCCCTTAGTGGACATCACAAGTTGCCTTTAATCCTGCAGAAAAGTATAAACTATTTTTGTTTTAGCCAAAACACAAAGAACTTGGAACCTGTTTCTTGTTGTCAGGTTCCATTGCAACTATGCAGACACTTTTACAGTTTATAATTCCTCCTCATTGCACTCACATTAGAGTTAGACCAAAAATTAAAACATCATCTTCTTTTTCATCAGTGAAGGAACTGAGAAGACCACTTCTAGCTGATATGCAGCCAGATAGATTTGAGAACATAAGTAGGGACATCAAAACAGTAAAGTATGAACCATTTTCCCTAAATATTAAAAGCAGAGTTTTCATAAAGGTGTTGTGTTCAAAACCTGCTTCCAGATGCTGAATACAATCTTCTAAACAAACTCAATGTGCTCTGACATCCTTCCTCAATGGGAGCTATGTAAAAGGAAAATAAAAACAGCAGTTTTGATCATTGTGGAATGTCATATGATCTCCAGTCTCTCTTTAAATGTACAATTTCTCTGTATGGTACATACTTGTTATTTTAAAAAGTAAACTGAAAGTAAAATTGGATATCCTTAATAGGAAAACTATAACAGGTAAAATTGGAATGTTTCTGGCCACTGTTATAGTTTATAATTGAAAATGAAATGATGGAACCTTAAAACATTTATCTAGAAAAATGCTATGGCATACATTCATGCTAGGCCTGGTATAAGCTATTCCATCCTCTTCATATTTTATAATTGTAAGTATTTAAAAACAAGTAAACTACTTAGAATGGTCACTGATCATAACCAATACTGTGTCTTCTCACTCTTTCTCAGACATGTTTTATGTGTTTGAAAAACTCCAATTCCAGTAAATATGTTTCTACTAGTTGTAAGGTTATAAGCAGCCACAATTGTGCTTTGGTTTTCATCAAACAAAGCTAACAGAGCTTTGATCTTGGTAGCCATCGAATTTGAACAGACAGGCCAAAAGAAAAATTAGCTATTAGATATCCAGGAGCCCCTTTCAGTCCATCATGAACTGCAATTATATGGAATGTATGATTTGTAATTTTAATCCCTTATTATGATCTTTCTGAGGCTCCTGTCCTGACAACTGGTGTAATTTCCAGCTTTCCTACTACAAAAAAATTGGTTGAATTTCATTATAGAATGTTCCTTCAGCATAGCCAGTGTCACTCAGCCTGGCCTCTGGGAAAAAGAAGATAAGGAGGCTGTTTGATAATTCTCTCAAGAGTGAAACAGTTTCCTTTCCCGGATATTTCTAATTCTGCTTTCCATGCCCTTGAATAAATAGCAGTATAGTCACTTTGGAAAGGAAGAAAGATGCAGGTTTTAGTCATTGGGTCTGGCACATCAGTAAAGAAGTGTACCTGTGTGTACAAAGGCCCAAGCCTGAGAAAAGCCCTGGTATGTGACATGAAAGGACCAGCTGTGAGTATCCCCTGAGACTTACTGGCTAGCAGAACTCCTTGGCATTCATTAAGCAAGGCTGCATCTTCAGTGATAAAATGAGTATCTCAGTGTTGTGAGACTGATACCCACTGCATGATTGCTACTCCAAAAGTGATCATCATGTCCTTCTTTTCACATGGGTCCTAAGCCCCTGTCATCTTTTTCATTACTCTTTCCAATTCTCCACCTCTTCTTTTCATTTTCATTCCCTGTAACTGGAGGTGCCAGTACCTCGGGCACAATTCAATATCATCACTTTCCTTCGACTGACTGTGTGGCTTGGCATGGCAGTAATTCTCTCCTAAGGCTATCCCTGACACATTTAGGTAGGAAAATGTAGTCCTGAGATAGGTTAATACAAGGAACTTAGAGGACAGGGTGCCTAATAGGACCCACCCAAGAAAATTCATTATATCAGGGATATTTCACCAAAGCATTTAAGTTGAGTAGGTCAACTGCACATCCTCTGTGCGTCCGTCTTCATTTCGTTCCCTCATCTATTTTTTATAGATGAGCAGCGATGAAAAGATTCTCTGACTAATCTGTATAGCATTGCAGGAGAGAATATGACAAGAACAATGCTTGCCAGTTGTCTGTTCCACAGTCATATGAAAAGTACACAGGATACCCTAAACACATTGAAGCACACCTTTCCCAAAACAAGAATTCTTGCTTTGAACAGGGATGAGGTGAAACAACTCTGACTATAGTATGCTAGTATCAATATTTTGAAAAGGGCAATCTGAGAAATGCTTCCATTTGCTAAATGGGGTTTTCATCTAACTCTCTAAAAGAAATTATTTGAGTTTGGAAGAAAATGAATGAATAAATTGCAACATTTATTTGAAAATGTGTTTATTTTTTGGAAACTTAATAGAGTATATCTAATTATGTCAGCATTTAAACAGGAGAAGGTGAATTATATGAAGAATAACACTTATAGAAAAACCTGTTCGGGTGTCTTGAATGATCATCAGGGAGTTGACAATTGTGTGAAATAAAATTACTTTTTTCTTGTCTTTCTGTGATTGACTGCCATTAACAAAATATTAAATTTCGTTACATAACACCAAAACTATACACACCCACTACAATCATTTTTCCTTCCAGTTTGAGAAACAAAGAGGATGTTTGCCTTTTGTAGCCCCAACTCTCTCTCTAGGTATTAGGATAACTTAATATTTAGGAATATATTTACTGCACTTAGCCACCAGTTATATATTCTTTTAAAAGAGAAAGGGGCTGGGGTAGGAATAGATTGAGTTGTTTACTTTGAGGCCAGGCAATTTTCCCATGGTAAAATGTTAGTTTTGTCTACTAGAGGCATACATTATTATTCACCATAAATAGTATTAGTAGACAAGAGAATATAGGAGCAAGGATCTGGGTACTTCTAACAGTGCTCTCCATGCCAACCGAAAATGAGATGACCTGAATTAATTATTTAGCCACCAAACTGAAGAGAGATTTGGGATTATTTCCACTAATGGGACAAAAGCACCTGAAGAAGGTCACAGAGCATTTTAATCATAAAGCTGTGTAAGAACTTTGAAACCAAAATGTTGAGGGAAGAATGGTGGATGGACTAGTTGGTTGCTTAGTTCTTTGATTATTTTCCTCATCTTAAATCTTAAATTTTAATTGTTCCCCTATAGGAAGAGGGCAGAGTCGGAGTCCAGAAAGAGCAGCTTACCAAACAATAAGGAGGTCCCTTCACATCACCCAACAGACCCAGTAGAGCTGAGGCGCCTTAACTTTCAAACACCAGGTAAGTGGTTCACCCCATCTGTCACAGAGTGTCCTTGTCTAATTGCCATTGCCTTGAGAAATGATACATAACTGAGTTTTGAACCATTTTGTCCATCCAGATATTTTGTTTTAATATTGTTAAAGTTCACCTATACAGACAATGGAGAGTTTAAGCACTTTGTGAAATTTGAAATGAGACAGAGAAGAGAAAGATGTATCATTTGTCCTCAGCCTTTAGAAAAGTATCTATCATTTTAATGAGAATGACATGGTTTATTTATGTTCAGTGATACCAATCTGCTTTCTCATCTTATAAAGTAAATGCATGAGTAAATAGATGAATATGGCAATTGTTCTTCTCATTGGCATATTTATTTCATACTTTGCTATCTGTGTTTATGGTACCATGAAAGAAGAATGTAGGAAGTGAAGAGAGAAAGAAAAGGGAAAGAGGGGAGACTGATGGAGAGGAGAAAGGGAAGGATCGATCAAGTGAATAAGTATTTTTATTTCTTTTAAAAATTTAATTATACTAAATTTCACTGACCAATTTATATTTCAGGCTATAGAGACATTTGAACAAATTGAAACATGAAATATATATGTTTTCTTAAAATAAAAAAATAATAAGTGCTTCAACAGAGAAAACAATACTATTCTGCTGAGGAATAGTTGTACAATAATATTACTTTAAGACTAGATCTACTTTGCTTTTTTCTGCCCAAACTGTTCATGTCAAGTGAATGGCAAATATCAAATGACAGTCAGGACATCACACTGAGCAGTCCTATCTAAGTACCTTTCCTTAGTGAGCAAGGCAAAGCATTGTCTAAAAGGGTCTTTGGGATTAAAATTTGGTTGCAGTAATATACCACACATTGCCGGCAGATGTCTTTTCTTTCTAATTATTGTCTGAATTCTCTAACTCCAAATGTGATACACTGTAGGTATTAAACTGTACATTCTCAATGAATTGCTTTGAACTGTGAGAATGCATGGCTTATTGTGTTTAGCATAATTTTTTGCATATGATGAACACAGTAACTACTAGCTCCAAATGAAAGAGCTGCTCCACATTTTCAAGGTGGCTATACAAACATCACAAATGTTGAGTTGTTCAAAAATTTTGATTTAAATGAGGTTAGGCTTCTTTACATTTGCCTTTTTGAAGGCAAGCATATGCCTTCACAAGCATAAATGGCAGAGCAAATGTTCATAAAACCAAAAGTCTAATGCATACACATTTACATAACTGATCAATGTAGTCTGTGAACTTGTCCATGATGGGTGAACGTATCTGAGTTCTATTCCAGGGTCATTGCTGCCCTCTACATGCATCCTCATGGTGCTTTTTAAAGGCAATTTGATATAAAAATAAATTGTTATAGTAACTCTACTTTGCTTCATTTTTAAAATGGAAGTATACTGACTGCTACAGAATATAGTCAGCTTCTTAATGATTGGCCCAGCAATTCATGTACTTTCTCACTCACCTAACTCAATCCATAGAGGAACCCAAAAGCCAAATTCTTCCCTACATCACATTGTTTATCCTCAGTAATCCATTGAGGAAACAGATTGCTCTCTGATGCTGCTGTGCACTGCCTCTGTGTGAAATGTGCTCTGTACTAAAAACAACCATGACCTTCTAGAAGACACTGAATCATAGTGCAGTGTTGAATTAAGTAGTCAGATATCAAAAGAAAAGCACATGTGAATGCCACCATCTATTCCTATAGCCGACAGCAGTCCCTCAGAAAGGCAAACCATGACAGGGAGCCACTTGTAGGAATGACTAACAGGTGATGATGAGCAAGAAAATAGCAGTGTCTCTTCCCGAAAGATCCCATCTTCAGGTGCCTTTAACTTCTGTGGTTGCTTTTTTACTAATGTGACCAACCCAAACATTCTCTTAATGCATTTTCTTAATGCATGTGGGAATGTTGGATCCACTTCTGGAGAAAGTAGGCTAAATTCAAACTATCATGAGTTACAGCTGAAGTATCATTGCTGTGGCACTTAAGAATTCACTGAATTAAAAGTGGAGATTAAAGTGTACAGTAAGGTATCATTTGCCTAGAGTTACCATTGTTGCTGAATGGAGAGTGGCATAAAGTGGGAAAATGTGATGAAAATGAAGAAAGGAAACATAGTAAAGGAAAAGAGTAGCACAGAAGAGATTTCCTGCCCCACCCTGCACAGCCTCTCATTCAGGAAGCCTTGTCTTATGCTTTAGCTTGGAGGAAAAATCCACTTAAACTTGATTCCTTTCTGTATAAGATGGGTTGATGTCCAAATAATTGGCCATTTACAAATGAAATAGACTGAATTGCTAGTGGCAAATGTGTAGGAATATGGCCATTTTCTTCAGCCCGTATGGATTTCCACCAGTGACTGTGAAATGCCTTAAAAAATATCTGAGAACAGAAGGTGGAACTGTACACCAAGTAAGTGTATTTTCCTCCCCTCTTATTCAAGAATCATGATTTTTCTCAGATGACAAACTAAAGTGATCCTTGATTAGATTTTGTTGGTGCTATGATTCTACTTTTTATTCGAAATTTTCTGTATTTCATTATGTGAAATGTGTTATATGCATCATACCTATTAATCTGTAATTACTTGTTCCCTTGCAACATTAACAGTTGAGGATATTTGTTAATGACATGCATAAGTGGAAAATTAATAACCCATGTCTTCACTCCTAAAAAATATGACATGCAGTGAAATAAGAAAACTGTGATTTATATACCAAGGACCTACCCCAGAATGTCCCCGGGAGAGCAGGCAATGCCACATGTGACAGGCTCTTAGGAATGATAAAGTAGCAAGCATACACTACCATGTGACACTCCATCAGCTGTGCAGGATAGAGGAAAGTTCATTGTATAACCCCCTGATTCTATTTAATTTTCTTTTTTAAAAAAATTTGTGAATGATAAGTAAGTTACATTTTGTTTATTCTCATTAAAAAGTCTAAAGCTGAGAAGTCAGATTTTTTTTTTTCAAATTTGATGGATGGTCCAGTTGTCACATGACAGTATTCTGACAGTTTAACAATACCACAGACACATTGTGATCATAAGGGAATCAGAATTCTGTACACTGTTGCTTAGCTAAGACAGAATTTTGTGTTAGCATACTTGTAAAATTTTGGACAAAAATCTAGTCCTGATGTTAAAGCCCTACTTGATCATCAGAGAAAGCCAGGAGGGCACAGACTCTCCTGTTTGTTAATATCATCCACAACTATGTATTTCTTAGTTAAAGTTCACAGCACAGTATATAGACGGGATGCATTTGGGAGAAACTAGGCTACTTAATCCATTAAGACAATTAAATCTTACATCAGTAGGTCCTCAGTTATTTGTGTGTTGGGCTAGTCAGCATTATTATGGGGTGGGCAGTTAGATATCTTTCTAACACCAGCAGTAACTTTATAAATTTAAGTCAAATCCAGATAGAGGTATGTTACTCTCCTGCCCTCAGCAGAATAAGTTGGGCAGAATGAGTAGAAGAGAGAGGAAAAGAAGTAAAGGAATACATTAAAATTATTAACTCCTAGAAAAATACTTTTACAGATATTTTCATAAAACTTTTACAAATGCGTATGTTATGTGAAAAAGAGAAAAAGATAAATTATAAAAGAAGCTTTTAGAAGAAACCGTAGGATCACTGAGATGGCTCAGTAGGTAAGGGCTACTCCTTTCAAGCCAGACAATCCATGTTCTGTCCCCAGGACCCACAGGAGGAAACACGCACAAGTACACACAAAATATAAATACAGTATTTAACTTACTAAGCCTTACAAGCCTTTTCCTAGAAGAAATGATTTGTGAGTTAGGGATGGTTGACATCTAGGCATCTAATTGGCAAACGTAAACTGTGTCTGTTGAACTTCACTGCAAAGAAATAATTGCTTTTTTATTTTTTTGTAAACTCCACGTGACTTTTGACTACCTTCCCAGTATACCTTGCTTATACTTACAAAAGGAGCACATATTTCTAATGGAGGGAATTTCAGAAAATTAAAAATAATGCTTATTGACATTGGATATAGGTTTTGCCTAAACCACTATTCACCTATATTTAAAGTTTTACAGGTATTAATTTTTTGATAATTTTAAGTGGGAAATGGTCAAACAAAGGTTTTTCAGATAATAATACACTTTATATCATGAATTTCAATTCTTCTTTTTAGCATGTATTAAATAAAGAGGACTTTTTTTTTATCACTGCTAATACCTTACCTGTGTATCTGCCTTCCAAGACTCTACACAAGCCCTCGTGGGCTTTAGCTTTTGTGCATCCCTCTAAATGCAAATATGCAGTAGGTGCATAGTTAGGGAACCATACACACCATTCTCTGCTTTAATTTTGAGATATGTAAACAGAGGCCTTTTCCAAGTTAGAGTATGAATTTTCCTCCCTTTTGGCAGTTTACTAGTTCACGCTATAGATTTCATCCTGGTCTACAGATTTCAATGTATGTTAAGCCATTGCCTGTTCATGAAATCTGCCTTTCATGTCCTGTGGATCTTTTCATATTATTGTCACAATTTCTGTATATCAGATGCCAGGGACTGTGATAGCAAAGACCTTTATCTTTCAGATAAAAGTTACCAGTTAACAGTATTTTTTTAATATTGCAAAATTTATTTACTGATGATTTTCCCACTCTGGTCCATGGCCACTAGAAAGGCAAAAATAAGTGAGATAAAAAGACACTGTAAAAGATGGTAATGTATAAGGAGAGAGAAAGAGGGGGCGAGGATGGATGGATGGATGGATGGATGGATGGATGGATGGATGGATGGATGGATGGATGGATGGATGGATGGATGGATGGATGGATGGATGGATGGATGGATGGATGGATGGATGGATGGATGGATGGATGGATGGATGGATGGATGGATGGATGGATGGATGGATGGATGGATGGATGGACCGACAGGTATATGTTCATATTTGTGCATCTTCCCAGCAAAGCAAATTGAGTTCACTGTCAAGAGAAGC